GTTCAGTAGCATTATTCATATACACTTTTGCTCCTGAAATTCAGGAAATGTGCCATGGAACTAGAAGTGGACACTTCCCTTAATATTGTCTATCTGAATCTCCCCTTAATACTGTTACTATTACCTGTGGTAGAATCTCCTGAAACATCTAGAGCTGCTGCCTACTTCTCATTTGTCTGCTCCAGTATCTTGAAGCTCAGTCATTAACATAACAATACAGACTAATACAGAGCTAGTGAAGTATTTTCTTTGGGTTTTAGTTTTGATGGGAAAAAAAAGTTTTTATAAAGAAGGAAAAACAAGTAAATCACAAAAACGACAAAAATGCAAATAAACAAAAAGACCCACAAAATATATCTCTTATATAGCCCTCCCCCACCATAGGAAGAAAGATGTCTAGATATCTTTTTATTCCTCCCATTTTTCCTTTAGAAAACTTAAAGTTAAGTGATCTTCTAACAGAAATCAACACCAACCTGAATCCTCAGCAAGCTCTCAGTGGATTTGTTGCTCAGCTAAGAAGCGTGGACCATAAAAGGAGAAAGGATGAAAGTCCTTATTAACATATTTGAAAAGAACAGCAGGTCAGGAGAATGAATTGTATCTTAATATTGAAACAAAAATGAAACAGGCATTCTCGAATTAAAATTCTTCAGAACTTTCTGTGTCTGAAAGTTCTTCCCCCAGCCAGCACACAATACAAGTCTGAAAGTATGGGAACTTCCCATGTGAAATTCAGTTTTGTGTCCAGCTGCACTTTTGAAATAGAAATTCATAAATAAGAAACACAACCTAGTTTGATATGAATGAAATAACATTTTTAGGGCAGTGCTAAAATCTTGGAGACTCAGTCTGACTTTTGCTTGTGTACATACACATGCAAACACATTTCTGAGATACTGCAAGTGACCACAGAGGAATGCTATAAACAAGCATTTCTCTGTTGCATGCACAAATGGTGTGTTGCAAGTGCAGGGAAGTAGAGGCTGCATGGCCAAAAACATGGGCTCTAGCCACAAAAATGCAGTCCATGATCAGACCAGCTTTGATTCATGGTAACACCTGCAGATTTCTGGGTTACATTTTACCTACACTCCCAACAGTATACACACAGCGCTCATGATATTCGATCCTTGGCCTCATGCTTCTTCTTAAGAAGGAAAACCACCTTACATCAGAGTCCTTTGGTGAAGGACCACACTAATTCTTGACTGTTATCAGGCTCTGGTCTGCCCTATTTGCTCAAGTACTGAAAAATTTTTCATCTGTCTTTTCATCAACACCTGAATCATTTTTCTAATGCTAAAGGCTACTGTTTGCCAGCAACACAAACTGGAAAAGGTCAGCCTCCTAGGTCACAAACTCCAAACCTCTGCTGCTGCAAGGAAATATGTCTGAATTTTATTCATAAGGGTATAATGGCTGACTGTCCTCACAGCTGCATCCTGAATACACCACATTACTCCATGGATGCCTAACACAGAGATAGATCATGATCTCAGGTTACATTCAAGGATATAGATGAGTTGCATTAAAAGGAGACTGATAGGGATGTATATACCCACTCTTACTGTCTTTCTCCTGATGAAAAAGGAGAAGACAACACAGGTACAGGGTCTCCTCTTGTTAATGGTTTCTTGCAAGAACTACAGCATTTGTCTTTCGGAGCTGGATGTAGCAAGGCATATGCTGAATCTGTCTCCCCAGCTTGGTCACTGTCCAAGTTTGCAGAGTGGAGGGGTGGGGAAGTTATGAGTTAGTTTGTTCAAATCTACTATATGATAGTCTAGGTAAATATTTTAGCAATATTTGTTTTGAGCAAAGCACCCATTCTGCCAAGCTGTCTCCCTTTGTTTTAGGAGTCCTGCTGTCCCCTGACAACCTCTCCCATGAGGTCAGATTACTGGGACAACAGCCAGAGTATGTCTGCTATAACCTATGCAACAGGTAAGTAGTGCCAGGCAAAAAGAAGGGCCTGGAAAGCAGGGTTAACCTGCATGGGCTTGTCCAAAACTTGAAAGTTTGCCCTGTTAGATATGGTCAAGGTATATAGCTGGTTGATATGATGCTGAGTGCAGACACAGATGAGTCATGTTCAAGACTGTCAAGTAAAGCCATGGCTCTTGCACAGCACTCCCACTCCAGGGAGTGCTGATCTCAGCACACACTTCGCAACCCCATTTAGAAGCAACATGGGACAAGGACTAGAAAAGTCTTAAATTCAGTTTGTTTTTTTCCTTGTATTTTAGTCAGTGACATATACAAACACCTTCAGCTAGAAGCTTAAATACTGCTTTTTGAGACAAACAAAGAAAATGAAGTAAGTATTAGCAGATTTTCTGAGAACAATTCTCTCTCATAATGAAAGATAGAAGTGAAAGTGAAATGAAGTTAGCAGTAGAATATTTAGAGAAAAAAACACCCCTAGCCTAGCAAGCTCATTCCCCTCTGTATCCCTATCTTCTTATTCTATTAAAAGTGAAGGTTTCTGTCATAGAAGCTGCACTCGTTTGTCTTGCATACTGATCTGTGTTCAGTAAATAGCTGTGGTGGCAGAAAAGTGACTGACTGCTTTCCATTCATCACCACCTGCAGTGCAGTCCCCCTGCCACTTCTCCCACGTCAGCTCAGCTGGTAGGTCGCTTGTACAGGTGCATACTAACTTGTTTCAGGTAGTCAAGACTGACTACTCAAAGTCATTCCAGGTCATTGACAGAAAAGAAACATACTTTTTCATATCTTAATGATGTTCAGTCATTGTGATTGAACATCATAATGATGTTTTAATGAGGGATGATCACTCATCATCCCTCTTGCAACGTAGCAAAGAGGAATAGTTTTGGGGTAATGCCTGGTTTTAACACTAGGCAGCAGTAACATGGAAACCTTCAGTATATTTGCCCTCCCAAGTGACATGTACTAAGTGCTGCCTATACATCTTCAGCAGCAGAGAAGGAAAGAACAGCACAGAGGTGCTTTACAGATGAACTTCACCTTGTGTCTTGCAATGTTATTACAGAAATTTTGTCGCTCTACCATAAAACATCTCAAGTCACAGTGTGCTACTAAATACTGGAACATGCACAACGAAGTCAGTTTGTTGAGTGAGATTCTTTAATAGCCAAAATGAATACTTATTCAGCTGTCAGTCACAGCAATTAAAGGCATTGTGCACAGTTAATGACAATGGATGCACTCCTGTCTTTTACAAAGTTATTTGATCTCTGTTCGGAGTTTGTTCTTTACCATAATGAAAGAACACATAAAGCACTACTGCTATTTGTATTATGAAGCATCTATTTATGTAAGCACAACCATTTTAAGTTTAACTTGTAAACAAATAAAGCTGGAGAACTACTGTCTTTGCCAAGCAGGGAGCCTAAACATTGTATATGAAAATACATTGTATTGTGGAACAGAAATTTGTGTTACTTTTATGTCTGAGAATGTACTGACCTTGCTCCAACATTTAAGCTATAATTCAGTACCTGCCTGGATCTCTACAAAGTAACTGACTGCTTTTGGTAGCACAGTCATCATGTGCTTTCATAAGCATACGTATATGTACATAACCTGTAAAACTAGTACTATGCATCTACTTATCAAATCACCCCTCCTCACCAAAAAGGCCTGGAGTAAAGAAAAAAATAAATATACAACATCATTTCTGATGGTGTGTTAAGAGAAATACACAATACTGGCATGCCAAAAGACATATTGAAGCCCTGTAAACATACATTTTTAAGAATTATTTCCTGCCACAACTTCGTTTAAAAAAAAGTCTTTTGGCAGTTACAGGGCAAATTGCAGGCATTCCTGATGAATTTAACTTTCTTTAGTAGACCTGTTATCAGTCTCATCAAGACTAATTAAAACTCAGCAGTAATTGCTGGGCGTCATCTCTAGGGCTATAACAGTCATTGGATCAGAACTGAAGAGAGACTGCTTCTCCCTACAGAAGTCATGAAGGGCCTTTTCATTCACTGTCTTTAGCACATCAGTATGTCTGAATTTAAGAGACTGTAAATAAATGGTATCTTTTTGTTTTCAGAGTATATAGGAAAAACCTTTGTAGAATTTGTTAGGAATACTTGTTCACACCATTTTCTATAGCCTTCCTAAACTCCCCTTACATACCTTAATCACACACAGCAAGTGAAGAGTTCTCAAGACACAAACCTCTTATTTGGTCCTTCAAAACATGCCCTCTCTCAGGAACGATTTACTGTAAACAGGGTTACCACGGCACACCAAGCACCTCCCAGAAAACTAAAACAGTATCCCCTCCCTAGAAATGCTGTCATAGTCGTACTGCACCCACCTGCTCCAAAACACTACTATCTCATAAGAACCACAACAACTGGAAAGGTGTTAAGGGAAGAAAAGGGTCTCACAGCACCTTGCAATAGTCAGACACAAGCAAGAGCTGTTGAGGCTCCAAACCTACCAGAGAAAGATCATACATGCCATGGACCACATTAGAATGGATTTGAAAAGTCATCTAGGTTGCAACAAACCCAAATACATGCCAGATTCTGCACATCACTACAAGTGCAAGATAAAAGAACATGACATTTTCACAGCAGTCATCAATACACTTATCAGTACAAACCACTGACACTACCAAAAAGCATTTACAGTTGCAAAATCCAAGAATGTGTGTAATCCTTCTATTGAGCTCTCACAAAGACTCTTCTGGGAACTGTTTAGAGGGAAAAGATTCACCAGATATGCCACAGGATATAAAAACAAAGCAAGCAGTTCTTTCCATGTGAGAAACAAGTTTGTACATGGAGAAAAAAACAGTAGTAATACTATTATTATTGCCTCCCAGGCTTCACAGAGAGCACTCTGTCATCAGAACTCGCTGCTTTACAAGAGAGATCAATATGCTAAGAACACAAGGAAAGGAAGATAGCAAAGGAATCTTGAACTCAGGAGGTAGGATAATATTTCAACTCTGTCATATAAACTATTTGACTGACATATTCAAAACTTACCTGCTGTAGCTTTCGAAAAAAATCTATGAAGATGTCATTATTGGTAATATTTGAATCCAAAGTAACTGAAAAACAAGAGGAAAATTGGGAGAGAGGAAACCAAACTTGTCAAAAAGCTGAACAATATGGCTAGTGTCTCAAAACAAGATGATAAAACAGTCGTTGCTACTTTACCCATCCTTTGATTTCTGCACAGCTACGTTTATCAGTCTGTTGTTAAATCACTGAAGCTATGAACAGGGCAAAATATATGTAATGTTGTTATTCTCCGAGCAATTCCTCAGTAAGATTCTTGGCCGCGTAACTCCATGTCATTCATGTCCAGTAAATTTAAAAGAAACTGTTGAATGCTCATGTGAAAAAGATATTATAATCACTAAGTAAAACTTCAAAGACTAATCTTAAGTTTGGGGTTTCTAAGTCTTGGCACAAAGTATCTGAGGCCAGAGGCTACAAAACCTTGTTAAGTTCATCCCCTCGCATACCCCTTAGGATAGTTGAAATGGATGATTTTTTTTTCCCCTTGGCTTACATGAAACTCACAAGATGCATTCTAGGGATCCTGTGTTTGTAACACAAGGACCTGGTTTATAACACAGGACATTGCATCTGAGATATACTTTTTCTACAAACTCTTGTTATAATTCTCACAAGTCTTCCTGGAAACCCTTGAAGGGAAGAGGTTTGTGCAGAACTCAGGTCTGTATTATACTTCTACCTGTCCAAGTGCCTGTCTCTTTTTGCTTCCCTCATTTACCCACACCGGGTCCCTCATCAGCTCTGGCAGTTGTGAAGCAGCGGGGGTGGGTCGCTCAGCTCACTGATCTGGAAGGATAGAGAGTGGACAGACTGCAGGCTGTTCAGTGTGAAACTGCACCCTTATGTTTTGGGAAAGCTGCAGAAAGACAGCTGCTTCAGAAGTGAGAGAAATATGATAAGCTGCTGTTCTAAAGCCAGTGAATCAACAGCCAGGACAGGGTTGTGTTGTTTAGATACACCCTTACTCAGCTCAGTATAGAAGGTAAAACACCCTGCAGCCACAATTGTAGACACATTCTTAAAGGTTTAAGCCCTACATACAAAAGCTGATCACATTGTTTTAGCCAAGTTTACCGTTCTGAAGGTACTGCTCCAGCTGAGACTGTCTCTTGTCTGTCACTGACTTGGTCATTGCTATGGAGGGAAAGCAGGTACAACACTGCCTGAGCTGCAAAACAGAGGGAAGATTCAAATCAATGAAGAAGCATTCATAGTTTCCAAGGAGCTTTCAGCGTTCTCTTTTTTTGACAGCAAGACATGGAGGCACAGGGTACCCACCCAGCACCCCCCTCAGGGCCCACAGCAAGGGCAGAGCCTTTGTCAGGGCAGCCACCAGAAGACACCCCAAATGAGCACCTCTTTTGGTGGGTTCCACATTTTTACAGTCTTACCACTTCTGAGCTCCTGTTCCAGGCCAGAAAAATAACCTTATCAGCTAGGTCTTATACACTTCATGGTCAAATATGATCTGGTAAGAGGTGTCTTCTCTTTCTGGTATGTTCATAGAGAATTCCTTTCATCTGTACCCACAGAACTACTTTTTACTGGCTGGTGACTTTTGCCCTTGACTTATGCTACCTCAAAGGCTTTTGTTATTTTGTCTGTGAGAGGTGGTAACTTTTATCAGATCATCTAATATTGACAAAGAAAAAAACCACAAAACCCAACTAAACAAAAAAACCTCAAATCAGAGAATCTTTCAGGAATACAAACTATCTGAAAGTTTGATTCTTCCTCCAGCTATATTAGCTGGCTAATATGTGCATAATGACTCTGTACAAACCCTATCTCCTTTATAAACAGACAAAAAAGTACCAGAGAATCACCATTCCATTACCTTACAATTGACATCAGGCAGCTCCAATATAGGCTTAGGCAGCATTTCTTCACTTGGAAGATAAAAATTCTCTACTATAGGCAAATTATCTCAAGCTATGTTTACCTTCTCAAAATGCACATTACTAAACCACATCAAAATAGAGCCAGTTTGCCTGGAAACATTCTTTCACCTAAATCAAAACAATATGTCATCTGATCGGTAAAATGAGACTGCCTACTGAATGCTGAGACATTACTACTAATTAAATTTATGCACCAGTATTCAACTCAGCAATTAGTGTCATTGAATCACGTGAAAGATGACATTTTCCCCTCCGGCCCCCGCTGCTCAAGTCTTTCACATGACTCCAGCAACTGAAGTGTGAAGGAAAAATAAAGTTTGTTACTGAAAGAATTATCAATAGCTTTTTTTTGTCTGTTATCTAAAAACAGGAGTGAGGTGTATTTTCACAACTCCACTTTCCCTGCACTGGCAACACTCTGGTATTTCCAAGTACTTGATTATTAGATATGTGTGAATCACTCTGAGATACACAACGTAAAAGAGTTAGATAACACTACATGCTTTGGTTTTATGTAAAGCTGACAGCAATAGAGTGGGTTTTATCTTCAAAGCCCTTCACATGCGTGATCTTCCTCCAGGGACTGAAAATTATTATCTCTGCTCTACAGGCAGGCAAACTGAGGAGATACAGCAACAGAATTCGCCAAGAGTCTGACAACAAGGAGGTCCTCTCTCTTCTCGCTGTGTTCAAGCCATGCCTCACCAACACAAAGTGGTGCTGTCTGTTATCATCACTTCGCACAAGACAAGACTCCAGCCTACTTAAAAAAATAATTAATTCATCTCAGTGCCAGCTGTTGGGTAAGTTTCTTGAAAGGTGTCCTCAGGATTTGGGCCACAGAAAAGAGAAACTTCTCACAACCAATTCCACTTTTTCACATCTCAAAGAATTAAAGGAAAATGCCCATAAACAAATACACAAATGCATGTATTTGTGTATGGTGTTAAAAGCCCAGACAGGATGTTTCAACCTGGTGGAAGAGGCATGTAGTCTTCATCCAAGATTTCCACCTAAAACAGATAGAGCAGCTTCCCTAAATATGACAGTTTTAAGCTCTAAGACCTTATATCTGCAAAACGAGGAGTAAAGACACAGGCCATAGTTGAGAATGTTTCTTTTTTATCTTTCTGCAATGAATATTCCCCTCCTCAGTAGGAGATATTATTGATTTTAAAGTGTAGTTGACCAAAATTGTCTTCTACTTATGTCTAATCCCATAGGCTTGTCTTTGGTGTGAGGTCCTGTCTAGATCAGCTATTTCATCCAGGGTCACACTGGAGGTGTGCAGACGCCAAAGTCAGACAGAGTAACAGACACGTAAGTGTTAAACTGAAAAAATAGAACAGCATTATAATTATACAGCTATTATGTATGGATTATATACAGAACGAACAGGCCTATGGGCATTTCCTTCTCAGTCATCTGATTAAATATTTAAAAAAAAGGAGACTATTCTAAGACAAAAATGCTTAAACATGTTCCATGTGAAAATAAAAATTTATGTATGCAGAAACTGTCAAACAATCAAAGATATGAGAGCATTCTGGTACATGAATGACTAAATGAAATTTTAAGACATTTTCTGTATTTAATTACTTTTTACCAATTGCTTTATCATGACTAACAGATTTTTCTTTAGAACTATTTCCCCAACGTTCATTTATAGTGATCACAGATGCTGCTGAGTGACTCAGTAGAGGCTGACATCATGACCAGAATCCGTCAGTGTTGCATTTCACTCTTAACCCTACAGAAGACACTTCCTGTTTCCTCCCTACCTTGAAGTAATCCGGTGAATACTCCAACAATTGCAAGAAATAATCTGTTCCTTTCAGTTCCACAACAGAAGTAGGTTAATGACATTTCCTTAGTAGGTTAATTATTATGATATTTCTTCAGAAGGGACTCAGTAAGTGGCTGCCAAACTGAAAACCCAAATGCAAGCAACACAACATCAAAAGGCAGAAACCAGGAAGAACCTGGATTTTCAGCAGCTATTTGATTTCAAGGAAATCCAGTAATATTTTTAATGTACAAACTGCTGTCCAGGTGATCTCTGCCCTCACTCTTGAAGCTTCTGTAACTTAGCTGTTCTTGCAAGAGGGCCTTGCCTCTCCATAAATAAAGTAGAATAAAGCCCCACAGCTCTACAATTAGGGATGCCCTGGTCAGTGTGCAGTCCCCAGAGAACTAAAACCAGAGGAAAGCATGACTACAGTACAGAGCACTGCCTGGCTGTCCTTGGGTGAATCTAGGCCAAAGCTCAGATCCTTCAAATGCATGTCCATCTGCCATTAACATTTCACCTGAGGCTGTTCAAAGTCATTTGCAGAGAATGGCTACACAAATCTCAGTTCAGCAAGTGCAAAGAGTGCTGCCCTACGTGTGTGTGGTTCATCCCAAGCAAAGGAAACTCATCCTTCAGCTCTCCTTCCTGCTGTTAGTACGTAATACCTAAATACTCAAGACAGAGGAGGGAACGGAATCTGGATTTCCCACAGCTAAATGCTCTAGCTCCTAAAAAGAGGGGTAAAAGGGGAGAAGGCAGAGCCGCTTCTGGACCCTCTTACAGCCTATACAAAGCACCATCTCCCAGAGGAAGTTCAAGGTTGTAAATCCTCAGACCAAGACAAGACCTTCTGGCAATCCACAGCCAAGTGCCTATCCCCACAAGAGGAGAAGGGCGAAAGTTGCCCAGCTCTCCTCAGCATATCTGCCAGCCCTGCCTAAGGAACTCATTCCAAGTAAGATTTCTTTTAATATATCACTCTTGGTTGTTCATACTTCCTTCTATATCATTTGCCTTGGGTCCTCAGCTTAAGGCTGAGAAACCTGTTTGGAAGTAAGGCACCTGGAGGTAAATTGCTCACAGTCAGTATTTCTACACCTCCCCATTTAACAATGTATCCAAAACCTCATATGCTCCATCACAACTCAGTGTCTCTGAATAGCTGCTCCCTTCAGACAGTCCTTTTGAAGAGAACAACTGCTCTGGGAGACAACAAGAAACAGGGGTTGGGGTGTCAAACAACAGAAGCACTCTCAGATTATAAAGTGATGGGAAATAGGAAAATGCACAACAGGAGAAAAGGGGTAGATAAAGCACAGCATTACAAATAAGAATTACGTGTCTTGATTTTGCATCACAAGTTAGGAGGGGTAGAATAGCAGTGCTTTACAAATTGCTACCTTGAAAGATGCACAATTAGTTCAGCATCACATCCAACAGATGCCATAGACAGATCCTCCAGTGTAGTGTTAAAGAAATAGCCCCAGGTATAACTGTGCAGAGATGTGTCCAAGGGGGAAGTTTATTTCTAATTCACATCCTGCATCCATCATGGAGTTGTGTCTGTGGGACTTTGTGGTCACTACATATGGTCTAGTCAGAAAGGTGAAAATTACGATATCCTAGAGTTTAAGACTTCTCATAGGTGTGCATTTTTCTACCTTAACATTATCTCAAGCAAAATAATCAGAAGAGCAGATAATAACTGTAGATAAGCATCCTCGCGGAAGTATAGGGAAGACAATTAAGAGTCAGCAGTGCAGTTGTAAACTTCAAGACCAAGTGTGGGAGCTACCAACAGCAGGAGTGAAGGAGCTGAAAATAAAAATCAGCTAATAAGTTGTAGAGCCCAGCAAGAGGCAAACTGTCAGTTACAGGGGATGCAGAGAAAAAGAAGATTTTGCTGAGAGGACTAATGATGTTAAAACTGGTTGAGCAAGAAACAGTAGGCCTTTTAAAAAAGGAAGTAAGTACATAAGCTGGTTTATTAGTTCACATAGGTTATCCAAAATGCTCCATTAACCATAGCAAAATACTACTGTGAGAGGTCCCACAGGGAACAGAATTGCAAGGCTATAACTCCAAGAGCACCCCTCAGCAAACATTGCTTCTCATGGCAGCCCTGCTGCCACTCAACTGCCTTTTGGCTGTGCTACATCAACTGCTTGTGTAGTCACACAGAGAGATGGATTGATCCCCACGGCTTCAGGGTGGTCCTATCACTGCAACTGAGAGCACAGCAAGGAGGCTGCCAAGAGAAGAAGCATCTACCTAACCCACCACTGTGAGAAGTGTTCATCAAAAAGGGCCTTAAAATAGGGTTGTTGAGGTAAGGATGACAGTGTGCACCCAGACTCATGGAAAAGCTGGGAGAGATTTCACTTGGAGTCAAGGACTGGCAATGGCCAGAGAGATCAGGCTAGCAAAGTGAAGGCTGGC